TCATACAAGTAGAATCGTAACATGTAAATTTTCTGAGTCTGGCTTCTTCCCTAATTTCCTTATCTAAAGAAAATCTCTACCACCCATTCTCAGTCAAACACATAACCCTTTCCACAGCTCATATCACTATATGGAATTGCCTTATTCACTCTAAGTTTTTTTCAACTTGAATGTAAATTCCATGAGTGCCTAGGGACTTTGTCTATCTTCTTTGGTGCTATATGCCCAGAACTTCCAACAGGGCTGATGCATGGTAGATACTCAATAAATATTACTGAATAAATAAGGAAATGAAAATAGCCCCTTTGAGTTTTTGCTACTGAAATTACCTACACACTGAATGATCACTGAGATGAGTGTGTGGTTTATTCTAAGATGAGAACACTGGGAGGGCGAACAGTGTAGGAGTTGAGTTGCAAGGCCTCCGCAGTAACGCTGTCTGATTTGAATACAGCCCGTTGTCTCTTCTAAGGGGTTACTATGGACTTGAGGAAGTTACACAATCTTCCTAAGCTTTAATTTCTGCATCTGTAAAAATGGAGATAATCGTTTCTGCCTCTTGAGAGTATTACATGAGATCACACGTGAAAAAACCAGGAGAAAACTGCCTGGTACTTAGAAGTGAATTAATGACACAGTACTGTTGGAGTTATTGCCGTCCCCACCACCGCTACCACCACTATTATGTTACTATGACTATTATGGAAGAAAAACTTCCATAAAAACAGGTTTTTAGCTAGCAGCCTAAAATATCTGTAGAGAATAAAGCCAGGTAAGTTCTCCTTAAACATAGAGAACTCTTACTGTTTTCTGTCTAATATTCCAGGTGTTTTCCTAAAAGTAGTAACAAGGACATTACATATAAATCTGAAACTCACAGTTAAAATCCTGTGATTTTAAGGGTATGAACAAGCTCAAGAGGCAAAATTTCACGTTCCTAGCACTAGTAGTCTAGGGGTAAAGTTTATTTATAAATTATATTTCTGGTGCTGCAACTTAGGTAATTTAGGATAATTAATTAAAGGAATTTTTTACAGACCAAACTGTAGTACTTAATTGCTTTTTCCAATTTGCCTTTCTATGGAATTAATGTGATTAATTAATGAAATGATATCTATATGTTTACTTGAGAATTTTGGATGAATACAATTAAGTCTTATAAGTCATCTTTCTGAGTTAATTGTATGATATTTTGGATCCTGACATTTAAGGACAATGATTAGTTTTCTGGAACACATTCTATAAGCCACATATTAGGCTAGGGCCTCCAGAGCATAAATATGATTGAGACACTTATGAAGTCCTCAATTCAGTGGGAAGGTCAGTCAAATAAGTAGGTATTTGCATTTGATATATGGAGTAAGAGAATTATAAACTGCAAGATAGGAGGTTAGGGCCTTTTCCCCTCCAATAAATGACAAGTACTCTCTGAGTATAGGTAACAGTAGGAAGGAAAATAAGTGTACACCCACATATCTGCAATCTTGATTTACAGCAAAAAGGAGCACTTTTAAAAACAGAGTGGTCCAATAATTTCTAGTGCTAGTTTCTGAAGAGCTTCCATACACATAATGTATAAGATGAGGAGGCTTATAAATCTTGAGAAATGATCTCCTTTAATTCTTTTAACATATTTATAACGGCAGATTTGTCCTTGTTAGGTCCAACATCAATGTATCTTCCATTGACTGCTTTGGTTTTCCTGTACTTGAGACATACCTTCCTGTTTCTTTGCATATCTGTTTTTGTTGATAAAAATGGACATTAAAATAATATAATATAGTAACTCTAGAAATCAGATCTCCTTCAGCTCCCAGGAGTCATTGTTATTGCTGTTATCTGTCTAGAAACTTTTCTGACCTAATTCTGCAAAGTCTGTATTCTTTGTCATGTATAGCCACTGAGGTCTCTGCTGGATTAGCTCAGTGGTCAGCAAATAATTAGACAGTGAATTCCTTAAATACCTTGAATTAGATAAGTGATCTATCATTTGCCAAGGGAGTGGTGTGCTGGGTAACACCTTTAATACTGCCTGTTTATAACTCTGCCTTAGCCTTCACTTTTTGTTGAATACAATCAAAATCAGTCAGTGGTGAGAGATTAGGGTCTTCTCAGGTCTTTCCTGGGCAGGTGCACAACCTTGTGCATGTGTATGACCTTCAAGAAATCCAGGATTATTTTTAAAAGTCAGAGTTTTTCCAAGCCACCTATAATAATGACATTTCCCAAATTTCCCTTTTAAGTTTTTTGGCCAGGCTCTTGTTTGACCAAGTGGTATTTCTGTCTTAGGCAGAGGTTAAACAATTGCCACTTATTGTTTTTGACAAACATGAGGATAAGGCTTTCCCACTAAGTAAGCTCTAAGCAAATGGGGACTTTCTGGGAAGCTACCAGATAGGTCAAACAGTAATACCTCCCTGTAGATAGGTTTTTTTTTTGTGGAACTCCAAATTTAGTCTGCCCACTCTAGTGGCTTCTACATTGCTGGTTTTCATAGCTACCATGGTTGTGAGGCTACTACTTTTTTTTTTATTCCTCTTTTTTTTAATTACGTTATGTTAATCACCATACATTACATCATTCGTTTTTGACGTAGTGTTCCATGATTCATTGTGTGTAACACCCAGTGCTCCATTCAGTACGTGCCCTCTTTAATACCCATCACCCGGCTAACCCATCCCCCACCCCCTCCCCTCTAGAACCCTCAGTTTGTTTCTCAGAGTCCATAGTCTCTCATGGTTCATCTCCCCCTCCGATTTCCCCCCCTTCTAAAAAAATAAAGTCTTAAAAAAAATGCCTAACAACAGCCGGCGCACTGCAGATCCTCAGTAATTGTTAATTTATGCCTGAAACTTTCTTTCCCCAACTATTCACAAAGTAAACTCCTCACCTCAATGCAGGCCTCAGCTCAAATGCTGACTCCTTAGAGTCCTTACCTAACTATCCTATTTATATACTGGTTCCCTGACTCTCCAGACCTTACACAGCTTCATTTTAATTCATGACACTGATCACTATTTCACATTATGTTATGCCTTTAATACTTTCCTGTCAGTCTTCTTCACAAGAAGGCAGGAAAATTGTTGTTTTTTTTTACTACTTTATCACCAGAAATAAGTACAGCCCCTGGAATGTGGCAGGCAGTCACTTCAATTATTAATGTGAAACACTGAAGAGTAAGTTTGACCAGGTCAATTTGTTTGCTTGCCCTACTGGCCTAAATAAACAAAAGATATATGAACTTCATATGGCTCCCAAGAGAAGTAACTTGTCAGTTTTCTAGACCAGAATTCTGAAGCTCTAAGGGGCTAATGGAATGACAACTGTTTGGTTGTAGTTTCTTACTACAAGTACATGAAAATGAAAGCAGCTATTTAAGAAGACAGAATATATTTGACATTACCACCTCACATTTGAAAACCTGAGAGTTAACTGGAAACATTTTTTTCTGCTATATATGTTCTCTGTTCAATTCTCTTAGCCACAAAGCAGTTAAACACACATATACACACATACCACACCCACATACTCTCTTTCTCACATGCACCTAAAATATGCAAACACTTGAAAGAAAATAAATACAATGCATTTATTCATGACATGCTTGGATTATCTTCACAGTACTTTGAAACTGTGGCAAACAAATGTTAAAGTATATCATATATTGTAGTGTTTTCTGTAGACAAGAATGCTCCTGACAAACCAGCAGAGAAGTATGCCCTTTATGATACATACTTTTCTGTTTGAGTGATGAACGTGTGCTGATTTATTCATGCACTCTTGCCCAATTTCATGGTGACTAATAGCCCACATCTATGTGAGGTTAGAGGAGTGGTCTGTGGTCACAAAAAGTTTTAAGTAAACTCTCCCAAATCAGAACTTAACCAACAATCTTGACCTTACTAGCACAGAATTCCAACCAACCGAACTGACAATTAAACATCTTATATACAATACGTGCTCAATATGTATTTGATGATACTAACAACAGAAGAATTAGAAAGTAATCATTACTCTAATAGAAAAAAGAAAGAAATAAAAGAATAAGATCTGTCACTACACTACTGTTTTCTTACCACAAAAACTACCTAAAGATATGTTTAATTTTTATAACAAATGGGTAACCATGTGCTCAAGAATAAATTTAAGTGACATTTTTTTAAAAATGTATAATATTTATCCTGGATATTAAAAGCACTGATTTTTTTAGGGCTTCATTAAGATTAGCTTATGAATTACACGAAAATCTTCTAGGTTGTTTGGTAAATGTTAGTTGTTTTAGCTACATTTATAATGCATGGTTGAATAAACAATGGTAGCATATGTAACACTTTGATCATGGAAAACAAAGACTTCTATAAATGTTATTTTTTGCTTTTTATACTTGTTTAAGGGAAGATTTATTCAGGTATCTCACTACCTATGTAACAAAAAGACTAAAAACATGGAAAATAGAGCCATGAAAATGCAATTATGGAACGTGAAAGTACTATAGTTTTTAATTGTTCAGATAAGTAGACAAAAGTTATTTTGTATGTAGGCCATACTTGTTGATATGTTATACCTTTTATGAAACCACGGGGATTATCTGTGAGGTCCTATTAATTATCAGTATCAACTACAGATATACAGATATATAAATTAGACATAATTAACAGAATCAAACTGTTTTCTACCTATATATATATATTTTGTATTGATTATGTATGTATGTATTTGTGAAAAAAGAAAAAAAAAATTAAACCGGAAGTTTATATAGCCGCAATAACTAAACATTTAAGTTTGGATTCTGACTTTTTAAAAAATGATAAAAAGATAAAATTATAGTAGAAGTACACTGATATGTTAAAAATTATTAGTTTAAAATATTATTATTAAAGGCAAAATAATTAATATTGATATGTCCACTAAGGTGATTTTAAAATCAAATAATAAAGAAACTTCATTTTGAGAAAAAATAAGGAAAAAGAAAGTACTTACAAAGAGTTAATTTTACTAACCTGACTTATTTTTCTTTGTTCTTGTATAGCTTTTAGAATTGCCTGAGATACTTTTTCTTGATCTTTTGCATGCTCAGTCTTCCATAACTCTCTTTCTTCAGCATGGGCTTTTTCCAAATTTTTTCTTTCTTCTTCTATGGCTTTTAAAACTGCATCCTTCATTGCTTCTTTCTCAAGCTTCAAAACAAATAATGATTCAAATGAAAATATTTGAATGAGTACCTGCATAAGTTCTTGAATAAGAAAGATTTGGGTTAACCTAAAAGGTACAAAACTTGAATTCTATAGGGTTTAGTTCTGACACTGTTGTTTTTATGCATACTTAATAACTGGTGTAAAATTAAATCAATTATTTGTTTTTGTACAGATATTCATACATTACTTCCAAGGCACATCTAAACTTCACAGAAACTAAACATTAACTTAAACTAGCAGTTTTCAAACTATTTGGTCTTAGAATCTATTTACATTCTTAAAAATTATGGATTACTTTAAAAAGCTTTTGTTTATGTCGGTTATACATATTATGATTACCATATTAGAAACTCAAACCAAGACAAAATAAAAATATTTATTAATTCATTTTATGTTAACACTAAATGCACTGTACATTAATGAGTAATATCTTTTATGAAAAATAACTATATTTTCCAAAGTGAAGAAGTGAGAAGAATATCTGTGGACCTCCTTAATATTTGACTTAATAGAAGATAGCCAGGTTCTCATATCTACCTTCTGTTTTAAATCTGTAGTATGACTTTTGGTTTAAGTACATAAAGAAAACTCAGTCTCACACAGATACATAGTAGAAAAGGGAGGAGTACCTTGTAGCCAGTTTGGATCTTTGTAGATATTGATGATTCTATACCAAAACTTAACAAAGGATAGTTCTTAAAGGGTAGTCGCAATAAGGAAAATCACATAGTGGCAATGAAATTTTTGTATTCTGCTACATTTTCTTTTCTTGCACTTTAAATGAGTCCTTTATCTATGCATGAATTTTTAAAGCATTTTTATTTGGAAAATATTGATTCAGTAAATTATGCATCTCCTCTAGATGTTGACACATTTCATTATATCATAACAAAAATGAAGGTCACATTTGTTAATATCACCATCAATCTCATCAGAAAAGTCTTTAAGTATCTGAAATCAGATACAAATTTTCCAAAATTCTAATTTTGCTTTAAAGCTCAACTTATCATTGGCAACAAAAACTGTTAGTTTTCTGGAGATGCTGGGCTCATTCTGTTTACTTTGGAGAAAATGTCTGCCAAATACTGAAGTCTGCATAACCCTTGTTATTCAGTAAAATGGTTTTCCATGAAAACTGTCGACTTCAGTTGCAACTCAAACACAAGAATTTCTCTCAAGAAAACCATCATACTTCAGGATGCAGTGATGTCCATGATCCTCCCACTTTTGATGCCCACCCTTAACACTTTTCTCTTTCTTCCAGTTAGTCATATTTGAGACAAGTTATCAAAGTGAGTTACCATTTTCTGAACCTCTGTTTTACTTTACAATTGTTCTCTGGAACTACTCTCTTATTATGCTTAACAATGCTCTCCATTTTGTTAAATCCAAATAACATGTTTTTGTTTTTTGTTTTGTTTTGTTTTAATCCCTATTTTTCTTGACCTCAAAGTGACCTTCTACATAGTTGACTATTTCTGTTATCTTTTTCTTGGTTTGTACAATAGCATGCTGCTTTTATTTCTACTTCTATGACTGACTCTCTTCAGTTCTTTGTAACTTCCTTCTTTCTCTGGATTTTAAATTTTGGAGTTCCTTCAGGGCTCAGACCTTGTACCACTTGTTACTCTATACTCTCTTGTGAGGTGATTATATATAACAATAATTTACATGGTTATCATTACCATCTGTCTGCTGAAAAAAAGAAACAAACCATATTAGCATCTTCAGGTCATTCTTTTCTCCTCTGAGCTGCCAGTTGATTTAGTTGCCTACTTGTCTTGTCATCTGTATATATCACAGGCACCTCAAACTCTATACCAAAGAAATAGTACCACTTTCCATGTTGTTTCTGAGGCAGTACTCTGAGGGTTCCCAACTTGGCCTCCTTCTGTATTATCCACACCAAAAATATATGCTGATTCCATCTCCTATTTCTAGAATTTGTCTATTTCTTTCCTTTAAACTATTATTACTACTTTACTTCTGTCATTCACTATCTTTTATATAGACTTTGGACACACTCTATTAATTTTTTCCTTGCCTCTAGCCTTTCTTGCCTCTAATTTCCCCCAAATTAATGTAAATTATAATTATGTCATACCTACACTCAAAAATTTCAACGTGTCTGCCCTTACCTATGGAATAAAATTCAGACTCACAATTCAGAATACTAGCCACCCTTCAAGCTAATTTCAAAAATAATTTATTGTTCAAAACTCCTGGCACAGAAGTACTATCTATATACTCATAATTTTATGCATTCCACCTTGCCTTATTGATAATAAGTAATACTTACATGATTGTAATCTTTAAGACAAAATCACAGTCATCCTTTAAGTTCCACCCCTGGCACGGTGATGTGCAAATATGAAACTTTCAAAATATCTGCTTACTAAATTTAAATCCAAATCTCAAAAGTTAGTGCTATGTTTTTGTTGGCATATGTATATTTAATATCTATGGATACACTACTTAGAAGAGGTATTTCAAAGTTGGCTTTAAAAATCACATCTTTTTGTAAATATATATATACATACACATTATTTGTGATGATACCTATTAAATACCAAGTACTTGTTAGTGTCCCAACATATATTCTCTTTTAATAATAATCTAAATATGCAGTATTTCAATGTCATTCTAGTCCTGTGTAACACGAATTTAACAATATGTATAGCAGCATTCTAAGTTTAACAGGAAAAAGAAGAAAAAAACCCTTTGATTTTTCTGTAATGAGGTTTAATACCAAAAAAGTAGACTGACTAATGAAGTCAGTTTTTAAATTCCACTTACATAGAAACCCATTATTTCAGATAGAAGTACCTTTGTAGCAGATACTAATGCCTCTTTATTTCTTTGCCTTTCTTCTTCCAAACATTTTTCCAGTATCTCCTGTAAGTGATAAGACAGTTGGGTAGACAGTAAATGTATTATCTGAGGAAATTATTTGAGGTAATAGAACACATTCTTTCTACACTCTGAGCAAACTTAAAGTATTACCTTCTGTTCTTGAGATTGCTGAACCAAAGCTTCCTTTATTTTTTCTTTCAACAGTTCCTTCTCTGTATCTAGCATTTCAAGGAGCCTCTGATGCTACAAGGAAAGATAAATGGATTATGATTATGGCTCTGAGACCAATAATCTATCAACAAGGAGTATAGCTGGGGGAATTCATTTGCCTGGTTGTACTCAAGTAGTCACTAGAGGACACAATGGGGAGATTGCTGAAACGAAGACTTACAAGAAAAAAAAGCCACTGAATTCACCTTTTTCCAATCAGCCAAGAGATCTCTGTGTGACCCCAAACTCAGCAAAGTACATGACATGAGATCTAACTTAAGCACAACTACTCCAAATTGGAAAATGAATCAGAAAATGATAAAATGTCTTTATTCAAAATTAAATCTAGAAAAATTACTCACTAAAATTATTAGCTTACAGCAAAAGAAGCAATCAGATAATAACTGATATTTGTTTGATGAACAACGATCATAACATATTATTTGTGTTTCTAGTAAAGCACTGTTAAAGAGACTGAAAGTTTTATTACTGTTCTCACTCTAAGACTTTACCATAGATTCAGAAAAAAAAAATCAAAACAGTGAAAGGAATTTATGTGATAGCTAATGTTACAATGTACAGAATTCATGTATTTACTTTATTCCAATGTGCTAGCAAAAAAGCACATAACAACCATTAGCCAGTTATCATGGATTGGGCACTTGGAATTTAGAGTTTTCTAAGAAAATTCAACTTTTGTAGCACCAATATCTTCAACACAGAGAAGCCAGATACTTGTTCTGGAATGGCGCTCTTATGAGGAAACAAAAACAAAAAGAAAATATATATTCCTCTTTACACAGATTTCTCATTCAGTTACTAAAGGGCAAAGAAGAATATTTTCTCTGCTTTCTCTGATTTTGAAGCCTTCTTTAAATATGAACTTATTTGAATACCCAATATTTTAAAATGGATCTATGTCTTTCAAAGTTGTTCTGAGTTAAACTATTTTTTAGGGAGGCAGTCTACATGAAGAGTAAGTAACCAAATAGCCATGTCTAGTTAAGAGAATCTATTATTCCTATTTTTATTTATAATGTTAATTTTTACCTTTATTTTTCAAGAAAAATCACATGATGTGCTTTTTCATTAAAGAAAATCCAAACTGTGATACAAACTATGACTTGAATATGAGAAATTATTGGTACCTCATGAATTTGTGAAAAGCAGCTGACAAATCAGTAGACTTACCATATGCTTTGTACTGAGACTTTAATTTTGTATTCTTTGTAAGTCTAGATACACATAAATGTCATCGAATCAGAAAAAAATACCTAATCCTACTTAAAATACATACATGAGAAAAAGTTTAAAAATGTTATACCAGGCAAATAATTAGATTTAGAATGATAAATACAATTCTCGTATGAGACCAAAAATATTCAATTTAGGCTTTGTGGGTAGGGGTAAACATAACGAAATAGAAAACCAATAAAAACTATTAGAATTAAACTAAGAAACGAACTTTTCAGAGTCATTAATAATTTCTGCTTAAAAAGAACTGTTACGTTAATAAGTCAGACTAATGGGAATCATTGAGTAATTAATTGTAAGTAGGCCAAGTTTCTCCAGCGGTCCAAGGTTAGTTAAAGAGGGTACGTTAGCTAAAATGACAATGCAGTGTTCAGAAAATTCATTCCTGAACATTATTTCTTCATTCTGACAATACACTATAATAGAAGACTATTCTTGAACTTTCTTCTACAAGAATAAACTCTAAATTACCATTGGAAAGAAGTATCCTACATAAAAAATACTCTAAGTAAAATCATCGATTTACTTGAGAAAACATAATTAGATTACTGACTTTTCTTATACATATAGGTCATAGTAGCTAACATTTTGGGGGCATTTTTAAGGTTTCAGGCATTGTTAAAAGAGCTTTACATGTAGTTGTACATTAAATTCCTAACAAACTGCTAAATCAGGCAATATTCTTCCTCATTTCGGATGAGTGATCTGAGACTTAGAGAAGTTATGTAAACTCCCAGGTCTCTCATGAATCACTTCAGCAATAATCATATTGGTATACTCATTATCATCAGTAATAATTACCTACTAGCTAAACGTGGCCTCAGTATTGCGTAGATGTTACCCAGTAACTAAAAGCTACTTATTACAAGTTGTATGTCAGGTAAGGCCTCACTTGCATTTGGCTTTAAAAGAATGTGACTAGGGGTGCCTCGGTGACTCAGTTGGTTAAGTGTCTGCCTTCGGCTCAGGTCATGATCTCAGGGTGCTGGGACTGAGCCCCGCATCGGGCTCCCTGCTCAGTGGGGAGACTGCTTCTCCCTCTCCCACTCCCCCTGCTGGTGTTCCCTCTCTCGCTGTCTCTCTCTCTGTCAAATAAATAAATAAAATCTTAAAAAATAAATAAAATAATTTGACTAATCTATACTTCTGATTTTGTTCTTTTCAGAATAACATTAGAATAAGATCATCTCCTGAAAAAATATTCATTAATATTAGGAGAGAGGATTCAGACAGATGCTGAATGACATGAGAGAAGTTAACTTTTAAACAGTTAATTTATAAAATGAATAATCCACAAGTAGCTAATCAAGAACAATATAAACATAAAATATATTATTTTTATAAAAGTGTCATATGCTGATTGTGAAAAATGTAAAATGTAGTGAAAAATCACCCAGAGTTCTATCACCTAAATGATAGCATTTAGGCAAACATCCTTCTGGCAGGCTCTCTGCGTATGTAAATGTACAGCTATATGTAAACATTTTATATAATAAGTTTATAACTACCATAGTCTTTTTGAACAACAGTATTGTTATTCCTATATAAGTATAATTATGCTATTATTTTTATTACCCTAATATACATTTTACCATGTCCCACTTACATATTTATGTCTACAGTATTTCCCTTTTACTATAATCTTGATTTTTGTGCATGTATCTTGGGAACTTGAACAATTATGGCCTTATGAAATATTCCGGGTTGGTAGTGGCAGGTTGATGATTGAGCATTGTTTATATTTTGATGCATGCCCTCAAACTGTATTCCAGAAAGAAAATGTGAAATTACACCTTGACTATCAATAGTAGGACAAAGGACAAGGTAGATTCTCCTGGAGAACAGAATCATGGACTGGATGAGCAACTAACCAAGGAAACTGTTCCACTCTTGGCATAGGGATACCAGCAATACTTGGTATCTGCTATGAGCCAATCATGGCTGTTTATTTCATCATTCTCCCTGTTTGAAAATGGGAATTTTTGTTGCATCTTTTCTGTTCTTTCTCTTCTTTTTGAATGCATTGATTATAGTTATTGGGGGCAAGGGCCCTTCTATTTCCACATTATCTCTGTTTTTTTCAAAGTTCCTTTTTGGGGGGGTAGTTTGAGTCAGTAATTTTCTCATTTAAGATGTTTCTCCAATGTTTGGTCAACTTTTTCAGTTCATGCATACTAAAATCTCAGACACAAAAATGCTGGTAGGAAATTCTGTGTATGTGGGGGAGGCTTTACAGAACTGCAAAAACGTGGCTTTTTCATGGTTGTGGTGGCAATTCCCAAATGTCAGGTCTATATATCACCATTTTCTCTTAAGCTGCTCTTTTTGCCTAGAAAAAAAATTCCCCAATCTTCTCATTGGTAGGATATGGGTGAAGAGCATGTGGGTGAAAAGCTCACTGTAAAATGGATTCTGGTTTAATCTCCCAGTTTGTAGTTCCTGTTCTTTATGAGGCCAGATTCTCGGGTTTTATTATGCCACTGTCCTGCTAGGGCATACAGTAAGTATCTGAATTAAGAATGATGTGCATGGAGATTTTCAACCATTCCTCCTGCTTTTAAGAGCACCTGGTGCCCCTATTTCCTGAGGCATTCTAGGGTTTTGCTGGACAGAGCAGCTTGCTTCATATGGGTTTCACCTCAATGGGTTAAGATTACAATGTGTTAGCCCTCTGCTGAGTCAGTGATATTTGCCTGTATCTTATCCCTGCTAGTTTATTGTTTCTATTTATTTGTTTTGGTCCCTTTTGGTGTCATTTTAGTGATTTTTGAGGGGGGAGAGGTAGAGAAGGTAGAAGAGATGAGCACATTTAGTTCACCATATCTATCTAGACTTAGCATCACTTTTTAAAAACATTGAATTATATTTGAGTTTCTGACTCAACATTATGTGCCAAGCACTGTGTTAGGAACTTTACAGGTATTACTGGGAATCCTCACAACAACCCAGAACTGTCTTATTACTTATATTTGACAGATTTTCAAACTGAGTTTCAGAGAGGTTATATAATTTGCTTACATTCACAGGACTAATTAATAGCTAAACTGAGACTGGGACCCACTAGGCACTGAATATAAAATCCATGGACTTTACACTAGATTCTCTAGAATCAACATACAGCTAAAGGCTCTCTCTGTTACATCTCCAAGGACTGCTTCTTTGACTTTCTGAGTTTCAGTCATACACTTGTACTATTCACCTAGCCTTATAGTTATGTTTTGGTCATGGTAGGGTATGACTTCCCGCCTGCTCTCATATCTGGCCCCTTAAGGGAAGGTAATGGAGATGGCAAGATCACAAAAACTAGAAGGAAAGGGGACTCATTTTTGGCAAATTAACTTTTATTTGGGGGCTGGGGAGCAAGACTGTAGGATATTTAGGTAGCTGAATCTCTCCCATTGGAATCCCAAGAAATATACATAGTGAGCCAAAAACTTTACTCAGCAACCAATGCCTGTATTAGCTAACACATTTTCTTTTTCTCAAAGACACACATACTTTCAGGGAAGAGACTTAACTGAAAGAACAGGTTAACATATAAGCCACAATTATAAAAACTGCATTATGTATTTCTGTAAGATGAAAAAAGGGTATTCTTCTGTTCCATTTATATTTCGGGGGCATCTCTCTGGGAGGCAATATATCTCATTAGAATTAATATGGACATTGGAATCTTATTTCCAAAGTGTAGTGGTTATCATGTTTGCCTCAAACACAGGCAGTGGAATCAGATCTGGAGTCAATCACTAGTTCTTCAGTTATGAAAGGTACAACTTAAA